GTGAACAATGCTAGCGACTAAACCATTGAACAGATTAGCTCCAAAATTGATATTCCTCAAGGATCTGGATGATGACGCGGCCTGTTGAATTTAAAACCGACATTTTAATTTTGGGGAGTACTTTACATGAAGTCCTTGGGACATTTAAAAAAAAACTGGCTCCATCGTTCTCATTAAATGTTGTAGTTGGACATTTACGAGAATGGCCTAGGTAACATTTTCGTTGAAAACTGATTTTTCGAAGATTGCGAAATTATTTTTTTTCTGCGTCTCCTACAACTACAATTATGGAGATAAAGATTTCCTTATAAAATATGTTCCTTGAATGTAGTTCCGAAACTATCTATCATGTACATTTTCGTACATTTGAATAATTTTCGCGTTCGACATGACTCCACCACAAAGTTCCAAAAGACTCGACGAAACTTTTGTGAAGTTGTAGCTTCATAAATGAAGGTTTTGAGATAAAACTATCCCTCGCAGCGACGATGTAGGCTTACAGTAACACAACTTTGGCAAACAATATTTCCTTCTCCATTATTGCTAATTATAGTTTTCTTGTACAACTTTTAGCGTTCTAAATCATCACTGCCAATCATTGCCTCTCTAACCAAACTGTTTGCGCCCTTAGACTGCTGGAGGGGCCGTCGCTGGTGGCTGCGGCGGGCGTGAGCCGGCTCTGGTTGGCGCGCTGCCGCGCAGACCCCGAGCTTCGCCTGCGGGTGCGTCGTCAGCTGTTCTACGAGGGCCGCGGGGCGCTGCTGGGCCTGCAGGGGGCGGTTCGCTCCGTCCCCGACCGCCACCCCGACCGCGCCCACGCCTTCGCCCGCGTCAACGCCCACGCGCGCCGGCTGCACGCGGCAGGTGAGCGGCTTCTCCCTACCCCGATTTACGCGCTTCCCGTGCTCCGAAATCGGGTTCTGCACATTGTGATTGTGAAATGTTCTCATCCTCACTAAATGCAATGTTCTGCTTGCAGCTGACCCGGACCCAGTGAGATCGATGGAGGAGGATCGGTTTTTCGCGCAGTGTGGACCTCCCCGTTCCTCGGCGCGCCTTCCTGGTAAGTTCACTTCTAAAGCAAGAGGGCGGGCTACATTTCTGGCTCCCTTTCATTTTTAGTGAGCGTAAAACATACAAGATTAATGATATTAAAAACTTAATGATGTAATTAATAAATACAACTTATTTTATCTTGAACCATTTACGTTGCCCGATAGTTTGGAGAGCTGCCTTCCCTTGCCTATAGTTTCAATTTAAAAAAGAGGAGAATCGGCAATTGACCATATATACGAAAATAAAATGGTTTTTCTCATGTATGGCAACGGAGTCCTTTTGAAACGCTGCGGCCATTGTCATCACATTGTTAGTATTTTATTCGCTCTTCTTTCTTAACGATCACGCTGCCTGATTCTGTTGCAGCCTTCCCTCGTCGCCTGCGGGAGACGGGCGAGCGCCTCCCCCGCGAGAAGAGGGCGGATGCACGTCCGCCTGCGAAGCGCAAGGGGGCCATGCGCCTCTGACCGGCACCTTACACTAGTCAACGGCTGTAATACAAGTATTGGTTGTATATACGGGTGACTCTAGGGCATGTTCACTGGTCGAAGATGGCAACTTTTTGCCAATGAACAGTGCGAAATTCTTATAACTAAGTTACATTCCGGTTTAAACAGAGTTGCACTTTAAGTTCACGAGCTGGATGGAGTGGGGGGGGACAATTCATCCAATCGGGTGATTCATTACGACACATTTTTAGTATTGGAACCACCGATTACATGACTGTCTTTCCAGCTCGTGATCCTGAAGGGCCACTCTGTTTAAATCTGAGTACACACGTGACCCTTAATTGGTACGGAACTCGTTTTCCACAAGTGTATGAATGAAATCTCTTCCATTGCGTTAGAACTCTACCAGCCATACCAAAGTAGGATGAGTTGCCAATCAGTGTAGATGTCACGTGTAACTTGAGTTCTGATATTTCTCACTTAACGTTCACGGGCTCAAAGTAACGTAAGCGCCACGTGCCTTAGATGTTCGCAACATTTATTATGAGGTACCTGCATGTTTTAGTGTTGTGTCGTTTCATAACTTGTACATATTTTTATGTATGTAAAAATGTATTTATAGATTTTGCAAGACTATTGTATATAATGAAGACATTTGACTGTATATACCTTTATTAGTTTATTTGAGGCAGTACGCGAGAAGTTTTAGGGTATTTAATGTATGTTCTAAAACTTATGGAAATGGACTAAATTTATGGAAAATAAATAACTTCTTACTATTCTGTTTTCTATTACCTTTTTTCCCATTCCTTGCTTATCACATATTCCAACTCCTTGATTTCGTAGTTTCTGCTCTGTCAACACTTACGGAATTAATGACCTTAGCAGTTGATGTGCTAGAAATCGCTAATCAACCACTGTCTAAAAGTCTGGTCCTGAGCGAAGTACGGCGTCCAGATATAGTGACCAAATTCAATTATTATCCTAATGCAGGAAGTGTAGATGTTGCGGAAGAATTTGTAGGTCAGGTGCTTGAAGGCTCTGTTGACCAGTTAGAAGAGACACTTGGCCTTGGCGCGAATTGAACGTATGTACTCCACTTCAGCGAGTTAGTGATTCGAAGGTCAGATTGAAATGGAACGTGAGGGTTATACTGCAGGTTCAGGTGCAGCGTTTTTTTTTCTCAATATGTAGAGCAAAACACTTTAGCGGGGGAGAGGGAGCAGTGAGCCGATTGAACATCCACATAGCCTGTAATATACCTTCTTGATTATCGCGTACGAGTAGGTTACAGGGGCATTTCATTTCGGCGAATCACTCATTGGGTTACATAGCGTGGGCTCCTGACGGAACCTTGTGGAACACCGCTGAGGACAGGCTTTTGGGGGAGAAAAAAACCTCCAGTTATCATTCCGAGGTTCTGGCTTACGAGGAAAGTAGTGATCCATCGCAGGCTGTTTCCTCGTAAATCGTGTAAATAAGTGTAATCCTCGTAAATAAGTGTACTCCAGCTTGAACCGAAGCTCAGAAATCCAATATTGAGGCAGCGACATTTTTTCTCTTGAATTTAACAAAGAGAGGTCAATAAAATAGGGCGATAATTTCCTACTTTGTCCTGTCACCATTCTTGAATGTAGGAATGACGGTCGCTGAGAATTAATCTGTCGGAAGGCAACCTCCTTTCATGGGTCGTTCAAAAGGGTCAGTTAAGTTTGCAGTTCGTGAGCAAACGCATTGGTTAACGAGGAAAGGTTGTATCCCATCGGGACCTATAGATATGTTCTCTTTGAAGATGCTTATGGATCATTAGAGAAGAATGAACAACAGAGGCTGGCCAAAGCATGAGAGAGTTATGTTGATTGATGATCCAGAAACGTAATGTACGAAGATGCTACCGAATTGAGTAATATCTCTGGACGAGGGGGTGGGGTCAGAGATCATCATGTCATCTGGATAAACTAGGGATGTGAGACATATTTGGGGCTCAATTGGCTCTTAAGATATTTACAGAAATTGTTTGGACCAGATGATACGATCTCGCCTTCGATATGTGCATGTTGGAAGTCAATTACAGAGTTCACTTGGTTTCACAACTGTTTTTAAGCAGCAAATACAATAGGGTTGTTTCAGACCTTGACGCGGTTAATCCACGATTTCTTCTTCATCGCTATCAGGTATTGAATTGCAGATGTCACCCACAGTTTGTTGTGTAGGACTCTCCTCTTCTGGTTGCAAATGGGCAGTTCCTCACTGTTGTAGTGAGAATAGTAGTTAAGAACCCCTTCCAGAGGTCGAGTGGTGTGGAATGAGGAATGAAGGGTGAGCAAGATGGTGGAGGAGAGAAGAGTTAATAAAGGTATAATCAGATTTGGAAAACATTGTAAAAGGTTGCTGTATTTTGTGTGGGTTGGGCAAGAATGGTATTTGGACAGTTCAAAGAAGGGTTATGTGGTCTAATTTAGCTAAAACTGTAAGGTGGAGGACAACCGTAACTGAATTACCTGTTAGTGAGGAGTGAGACATCTATCGATTTCCTCAGTGTTGACTTGGTTCAGTAATCAATTGCTGGAGATAGATGGTGCAAAATAAATCTAGGAAATCTTTGTCAAGTAGAGAGGTGGTATTGCCTGCCACAATCCTCCAGTTAATGAAGTCCCCAAAAACTTAATTTTCAAAGCAGAAAAAATTAAGCCACTTTTTAGAAAAGGGAACAAAAATGAAATTCAAAATTAATAGAAACTTTTCTTGGGAAAAGTGAAGCGTTTTCAGACTCACAACAAGGCTTAGAAAATCAAAATCTAGGAAACTGTCAATTTTTCTTTTCTTACATATATTGCTTCATTAAAGGACCTATTGGACAATTTTTTGATCTTTCAAAATCTTTCGATGTTATAGACTATAAAATCATGCTCTAAAAATAACCTTCACAACTTCAACAAAACTTCAATCTTAAAGAGTAGAAATTCCATATTGGCAGGATATAACATTATTTACATATCTTTCTGATTCTTTGCCAATTGAGCATGGGGTCCACCAAGGTTTGATCATAAGTCTCCTCCTCTTTCTACTATATGTAAAGGATATGCCCTTGTCAATTAAAAGTGGAAGACCAGTTCTGTTCTTTATTTTGTGAGTACTTAATCCTTCAGTGGACACATGGCATACACACATACTCCAGTATAAGAAGCTGTTTTGTTAACAGCACTACAGAATATTGACACTTAAATTATTTTTATAATATCTTACTATTATTCTCTTCATTTTAACTCTAATAAACACACACAAACTAGGCAAATCAGATATAAAAAGACATTTTGAAGAATACAGAAACAATTATATTTATTGTCACAAATCGCTTTGGAGTTTAATGAAAAGAAAAACAAATGTCTTTCAGATGATCTTTGCACGTCCATTTCTTACATTTTTTTGCTGTCAACAAGTTCATTTATTGCAGTTTCTGCTGCAGTCACTATAGCAACCAAGGCCGCAACTTTCTCACCTCATGACTCTAGTTTTCATCTCCTAACTTTTGCTTTACTTCATGTCTTTTGATATATTTGATTTTTCTCCTCCTAACAATTTGTGGTCTGATCTAGCTCCAAGCAATTTCTTCAACGAAATCAAGTTTACTGGTGTTATTCTGCCAGTTATTTTTATATATAACAAAGGCATTTATTGTCGATACGTATTTACCAAATTGTAAAACCGAACAATAGGCCAGCGTTTTGTATTTCTTGCTACGTTTTACTTTTCAATACCAATACACCAAACTTAGTTCTATTGTAAAATGTTACAATTTCTGGCTTATTTTCTATGGAATCAGCAACCATTGCAGCATCATGGTGCATGGTAGAAATACGAATAACTGTCTTATTCTTTCTAGAACAGTGCAAAACTAATGTTCAATCCTTTTGAAACACAAAAATTGTTGAGTGCTGTAACTTCATTTTGATTGGCAAAAACTCTAATGGGATTTCTCTTTAGTTTTTGCGAAACATGCCAACAAACATGGGCTTCTTTTCTATTAGAAGTTTTGCTGCCAGGGGGATGGTGGAAAACCAGTTGTTGGCTGTGATATTTCTGTTTGTCCCCTCTACATCTCACACTATGCTACAAAGCCACAACATTACATCTGGAGAATTTCTGACACAAAATGGTCTGCTCAGTTGTTTTCCAAGATATACCTTGACATTGTAAGTATAATCAGTCTTTACATCAACTAGAGCAAAATACCTTGATGCCACTAGCTGTTTGTTCACTGTAAGGTACTCACTTGCTCACATAACTTTGATAATTTGCAATCATTTCATCAAATAACTCTGTAATGGCCGTAAACTTGTCGAACAATTTTCTGGCACGTCTGTCCCTTACATTGTTAAATCTTAAGAGTTGTCAATAAAAATCTAAATCTCTTCAGGCTCATTGGCAAAAAACATGCCACTATACCTGAGACTGGAATTGTCCCATATTTTGCGGCAATTTTTTCTTGAACATCCATGTGATTAAATAAGCAAAAGGATTCCAATAAGAGCTCTAATTTCCATATCATTTGTCGGTCTTGCATCTCTGTCATAACTAAAACATGATCATATCTTCCCAATATAAAGATAATTATTTCTGATTACCACAGTTATCACATCATCATTTATAAAGAGACATACACAGCCAGTAGCAACATCTAGCCCTTTGGCACTTTTCTTTGGTCCTGGTAAATGCAAAATATTGATGTGAGGCCTCAAATGGACATTTACAGGTGGTTTCAACTTATTCCAAACTGTCATTTCGTCTTTTGTGATAACTCATTAGTAGTAGAGTCTGTTTCATTCTCATCTTCTTCTGACTCACTTTGTTCAGTCTCTGAATTGTGATCACTAATTTCTGTATTTTCAAAAGAAATTTCAGAACATCTGTAATATCATCATCATCATCATCATCATCATCATCATCATCACTGCAATCCTCATCATAATCTGATTTATCTTCTATTTCCAAAAACTATTGTGAATGACATCTGCATCCTAAGACTTTTCTTGTAACTTTGTTTAGCAGAATTCATATCGCATAAGAAACATCATACTAGTTTCAGACAGCTAGTCACAGCAGTATAACACAGATCACTTAGTCTGATAAACACCAAAGGAATGAAGGACGAACTGCACTGTTGCTAACACAAGAGGCAACTAAGGGACTTAATAGACATGAGATTACGACAGTGGCTCATTTTTTAAAAAAAAAATTGTTGCATCTCGACACAATGCATCTCCTATTTCCTTAAGGAGCTTTGAGAGCACTATGGAGTAATCCTCCGTTAACATTTACTATCGATGTAATCCTCTATAAGAAGCGCCCTCTAGGGGTCGCTGAGTAGTTGTAGTCACGTCAGTTGCAGTTAAGTCAGAGAATCGCTAACAGGTAACGCTCGCATCTTGTACGTGCCCTGCATCATCTACCCATCGGTCAGTATTGGGAAGCAATAAGGATAGGGGTAGGGTTTAGAACAATTCACAGGTGTTGGTCTGGTCCCAACTAGCAGGCAAACTCATTTTCTTGTAATAAATATCTCATGAGGTTCTATGGGGATTCTGCGTGAATAGAACCCAGAACCTCAGTGGTGAAAGGCAAGAGGCCCTGAGCCAAGAGCACATTTAAAATAATTGTTATCACGAGAGAGAGAAGCAGCTTTGATGATGGCAATTTCCGACATGCGGTCACTCCATTTGCAAAGTCAACTACCGAGAACAACAGCTCCAAGAATTAACTTGTACAGAAGAAATGAAGATTTAAAATTACATAGAGTACACCAGTATTCCACATGCCCACTGAATGGTAAAAAAACGTTAAGGAAAACTGTGTATAGCAGACTTGCAGCCAATCAGCAACTGCCTACCTAGTGGCAATGTTTATATCCACTTTGTTTTCTCTTATTGGATAAAGAATACGTAAATAAATAAATATTCTGTACAAATATATTATTTAACCTTTCTGTGATCATTACAATACACAAAAATTACATATATACACATTTAGTTATATTGTACATATATACATACATTAATAAGTTCACTCCTTATCACTCTCACTGCTTGAACTGGAGTTGTCCTCTGTTTTCTTTGTAATATCATGTTTTTTCCACATTTCAGCAAAATCGATCACTTTCTTTCGCTGAGTGTCAAAATTTTCACGTCGCTGCTTGCGCCATAGGGAATGATCAAGATCCATCATGCCTCCGATAATTTCCTGCAAAAATCGCATAAAAATATGAATTTTATTGATATGAAGAAATATTAAGACTATTTTCAATTGTTAAACTCTAAAAATAAGTTTTTAAGTTCAAATGAAAGTTTTAATAAAATGATAATTTAATAATTAAAAAAAAATATTTTCACTTGGGTAGAACTTCCCAAATGAGAAATAGTGCTTTTCTTTTCATTGGCATACTAAAAACATTCAAAGCTATTATTTGAATAATACATTTGGATTTGAGAAAAATATCCTATGCAATAAAGGCAACTTGAAGAATTACTACAAGCAGTGTGTAACATGATTCTTCCAAGATTAAAAATAAGAAAGCAATAGGTACAACTTTGAAATGAGAGCAATTCAGGTACTCAGTTATAGGTCAATTAAAACAAAAGACAAAAATAAATAGCTGCACTCATAGTGTGAGTATTCTAAGGGACCACCGTGACACCTACTACTTGGCTACTACTCCAACATGACATTCATTTCTTTCCCGACCTGTCAAAGGTCTTTACTTAGAGTAACTTCTCTATATCAGTAAAGTTTCTAAGCAGTAAATAGAAAATGCTGCTCTTTCAAACTGACAAACTGAATATTTGATTTATTTTAAAAGTATTCCCAATACACCTTGAATGTATAAAAAAAAATATACCTGTGCAAAATTCTCGGGAAACAGCCTTTCATCTTCTATGACATGGGCAAATCCATCATCATTTCCAAAATCAACAGCAAAATAGGGTAAACCCTTCGGTACAGCCCTACGCACTCCTTTCCCTTTCAAATCAACAAGCTTTTTGTTCATACTCCATTCTGCTTCACTCTCCATGATTGCTTTCTGGAATAAGCCAACAAAACATTATTATTTAGCAACCACAGATGCAGCATCTGCGTTACAATCACAAAAATATGCACACTTAAAATAAGTCAGTTAAAATTCTTTAAGAGAACAGTACCAGCGTAGCTCCCTAGCAGGAATTTTCATGTTGAATATCTTTATTCGCGTTATGCAAGTTTACAATAAAAACTAATTTCAAACAAATTATAGTTGCCTGGCTCCTCCAGCCTCAGGAATAGAAAGATAAGTTGAGTAGTATTAATAGAAATACTTTTTAAAAAGTTGTTACATTACAAAATCAGTTTAATTATCATAATTTTGATGAATCAGCTTGGAATGATTCAGGTTGTAATAGACGGGCAGTATTGTAAACCACAGTGCTTTACTACTGTAAGTGCCTTGAAACTCTCCCAAAAAATATTTTTCTGGAATATTTTTCAAGGATCCAGCTTAAAGTTCATATACATTCCATAAACTACGGGATAATTCTATTTCTCTAAGTTTGGCCCTATTATACTGGAGGAAAAAAAAAAAAGGGTGCAGAACCGAAAGGTCCCAAATATTGCTTCATCCTGTTTCTTTGCTAAAGGGCAAGACTAAATGACACTAATCTATATTTTCTGCTGAAGATTGCATGATAAATAAGATGTTAGTGTTACATCCTCTGCACATCTCATAAGTCTAAGCAATTTCGAATAACATTCTATTTACTCTAAGGATCCTAAGTGAAGAAGTTTTACTCTAAAGTAAACCTTCTTCACTTATATTCCGAAAACAGTGTCACATGTGGAAACAGTTATCCCAGTCAAAATGAAATGGGATCATTGCTTATGACATTTCTTTCCTTTTTTTCTATTCCCAAGAGCTTTTGAGCTAATTGCTATCTCAGGTGTACGCTCCAAAAGTTGAAAATATATTTAGAGTTTGCTTCAAACTAAACTGAAATGAATTATAAAATTAATATGCTTTGATCTTTTAGTACTTGATTTCTGGGAGAGGCTGAATCCTACCACAATTGCCAAGGACATGTGGCCTCCCAATGATCCTAGAATTACTCGCGCAACTTTTCTTGAACAATGACCTTGCTTCCCCCTCTCCAACACAATAAACAGTTGAAGACAAAAGCTAGAAGCAAGCACTGATGGCAACATTCCAGATACATCTTTACTGGCGTGAATTAGAAACAATTTTCCATTGAAGTTGAGAACTTCTGACCACGATTTTCTTCAAAAAATTTAAATAAATGACCAAAGCAGGTGAAGATTCATCACAGGAAATATCTGGAACTCCTGAGAAAATTAGAATGCAAATTATTGAGAAAGTTGCGAAGGCATGACTGATTCTCCAGAGATTGGCATTGCTTCATAAAATCTGGTGGCCAATTTTGTAACTAATACCCCCATTCTACCCACATTTCTTCAATCCATCGTTCAAGAAAAGTTGCGTGACTAATATCAATTCACCACAGCTGGAGAAGCCTACACTTTCACACTTTGATCTGTCACTCCATGCACATAAAGAATTCAATCCATTAATTTGCCTTAAAACATCAACATTTGTAGTAATACCACTTTAGGATGGTAAAATTAATTTGAAAGCTGAGTTACTGATAAATATTTAGAACACAAATAGCTTCTTGGTATGCTACTTAGCACATTACAGAACTGTAAATACTTTACCTTGAAGTATATAGGAGCAGTATCCCCAACCTCTCGAGGCACAGGAACACACTCTAGTACCATATGAGGGAAACGCCGAAGATGCATGGCTGATTCAAAAAACACACAATCTTGATCTTGTTCCAAAAACATAGCCACCAAAGCTTTCCGAAAAGATGACATCTCATCCCACACATCTTCATCCAGCTGAGTAGCACAGGGCACATGGTGTATGGGAGATATCAGGCAGTGCCCTTCCGTAAGAGACTGATGAGCAGGTAAACTCAAGTACACCTAAGGAAAACATTGGGAAATTTCATACTTTTAGAATTTTTCTAATTGCAATTTAATAAAAAACAGAAGTAGAGTATTTCACATCGGTTTCTCAACAAAAATATTTATTTATTTAATTTACAAACTAAGTGAGTAAGCAGGACAATCCTGATAAAAAAAGACACAAGTAGACAACAATCAAGAGAGAACAGTGCAAAAGTGAACCAAAAGTTGTTCAAATGTGTGAATATTGGAAACCTGGCCAGTTGTTGTGGCCATTCAGTATTTTGAGTTTCAATGAGATTCCCCACAATATCTGCTCATTAGCAGTTGACAGGTGGAGTGCTTCAAGAATGTCAGGTACCACAGGTGCAAGAGGGCAGGAAAGTATCTCGAACATTTCCCCAGGCCTAAAAGTCTGCATCTAGGTGCCATACTTCTCACAGGTCCTGTGACCAAATTCAATTACTGACCTAAAGTAGGTAGTGTAGATATTGCGGAACATATTATTGTTGCTCCTCTCTACTCCATTTGTTCCAGCATCGCTTTGTCCTCACGACTGTCTACCCCCTCCATCCCTCTCTTTATGGTGGTCGAAGGAGCAGTCTCTAAATCTGTGTCGAGAGAGTCTGAGTTCAGCCACAGCTCTCCCTCAGTTGAGTGGATAGTTGCTCAAGGCAAATTCCTGCATACTATTTATGCAATGTGCATTGTTAGAAACTCAATATCAAGTTGTTCAGTAACCAACACAAGTTTTAGTGGCATGACTTCACACAAACAAGTTATAAAAATGTCAGTCCGCTCCAGTGGCAATTTCCTACCACTCCTTACAAGCCGTAGCAAGTGACTCTGGGGTGTTTGATCGTCTCCAGTGGAAGGTATTCATTGATCAGGTCTCAATTACATCTCGTGTATATTGCGAAAGTGTGTCACTTGTGGCATCACACTCAAAGTACTATTTACTCTTAAACTTGACCTTTTGAAAGATTCCTTTTCTTTATAATGTGTGTGAAAGGACTACTTCTGCACCAAAATCTGATCCATGTGTAAGTGACTGACACTAATTGATATAAAAAGTTGTTTCAATTCATTCCTGTCTAATGAAATATAATTTGTGTTAAAGTTGGAAGAAAAAAATTAATTACAAGTTTTTGTATACAAATCTATATTACACAAAAGAATTAAAGACATTTTTATGTTTTGCGTTCCAGTGTATGTGTGAACATTTCTTAAGAGATGTTTTGGCTGAATCTTAATTGTGCAGAAATACAACTTAGACAAAGAAAATAAGGGTATGTGTATGAATGCAATCATAGTTCAACATATTTTTGAAGTATTACATTAATAGGTTGCATTCAGCACTTTTCAATGTTCATAATCTCTTCATTTGACACATCATTCCACTAACAGTTCTTTTTTTCTGAGACTCAACATTTTATTTTCTAAGATTTATTATTTCTTTGGCTTGTTGTGTATGTACAAGATTTGCAAACATGTTTCTCTTGAACTGACCAGCTTTCTCTCTTTCCTCCTAAATTTACTTTACCTAGCTCCAACACTTTCACAAGGAACATTAAGAAGTACGCTTGAGTGAGTCACCTTCACTTCAAATATGAATTACAGCCCTTCTATTCATGTTCTTCTATTCATGAAGGACACTCAATTTATATCTTTTGAGACTTTTTGAAATTCAATAATGATATGAAACGACAACTTACAATGAAACTGATATGAAACAAATGGATTAAGCAATACATTACTCTAAAATATTTGTCTCTCTCTCTAGTCTAGCAATATAGCAATCACTCGTCCCATCTTAATTTCTTAATACATTCTCCCCCATTTTAACTGTTTTTTGACGTTCATTAAATAAATAAAATGGGTGTTCAAGACATATCTACAGGACTTTACAACTCCATATAAAATGGTAGAGGCACTGAGGGACTCTCTTTCCTCGAGCCTCTTTGCAGTATATAACGGCAAGCTGCTGCCAACGTTTCTGACAAGTGTCGTGGGCTGGGAGTTATTGACAAGAGGCCTAGGCACAAGGAGAGAAAGAAAGCGTTGATGGTCCTGACCAGGGCCCGGCAACTCTCTATCAAAACTGGGGACAAAGCTCGAGGTTGCTACTATAGGAAGCGCTAGTGTCGCCAGGTGCAGCTGCAGGTTAGGCTCGCCAACTTTCCCACATACAAATTGGCTAATTTGTGAGAAATACGAAAAGTGTCTTTTAAATGTACTATTATTCATAATCTATACTTATAAAAAACCTCTGAATAATGCGCGAATATAGACGTTATCTTTTGTAACATTATGGGCCTGCTTGCGACCCGCGAACTCACACAGTAGCCGCGTACGTTTAAAGTATCGTTGGTAGCAGTTCGTGTTTTAGTTCATGTAAAGAAGGCGATGCAGCAGAGCGCACCACCGTAATGGTCTCCACCACGTTATATGGGAGTTATAGGGCCCTGGTCCTGACTGCATCATCCTAACTTCGCACCCTAAGAGTTAAGTTCACAATTTCCACAGGGAATTGAAAGGTCTTCTATTTCTCACTTTCATATTTAATTATTTTCATTAAACCGTTAGAATCAGCTCAGTTTTCTCGGAGTTGGAAAACATAAAAGATTGAAGTCCGTCTAATGAGTATACTAATTTAGACTTACCTTACTACCCAAAGCTATCATGAGATGCTTCAACATTTTAGGGCTGTCAAAGCAGTGAGTGCAAGAATCCAGAGATCGTTCAATTCGCTTATGCTGCTGGATAGCTCGGTTTCTTTCCAACACCTGCAATTTACCTGGAGCCTTCTCACGTGATGCTTTCTCAGCAAATACATCATCAAGGTCATACTCACTGTCAGCACGACTTGAGCCCTACACAAAGTACAAGGATTGAAAAGAAAATGTTCCCTCGTACGTGAAGCAATGAACACACTAATATAGTCATTAAAATGTTGAAATCTAGAATTAAAGTCACAATGTCATTAAAAGAATAATTAATAATCAGAAACTTTTAAAATATTTACTTTTGCTGCAAGACGACTAAACTCCTCATTTGCATCTTCAATTGTAGTCATTTTTTCCTTTTGGAACTGTAACAAAAGTATTACATAAAGATCCCTGAAATGTTTCCTGGAAAACGTACTTATCACTGGAATCACAAAAAAAAGACACGTTTATTTGTACCTTTAACTCAACGAGCTGATTATCAAACTTACCATATTTTCCAAAGTGTACTTGTCATCATCAGGGAAGAAACGTTCCCGAAGACCATCAGCACCATGGGTGGCAACTTTTTGTGGCCGGCGTCTTCCACCCGACGGTTCAGGATGCGATGGTCCTCCAATGGGTCGTACAAAACCCTTGGAGTCTCGATGAGTCAGAATAACAGTTTCTTCTTCCTGTGGTTTAGCAGCAGCAGCCGTAGCAGGAGCCTCTTTCCGCTGTTTCCTGGATGCCTGGGCTTGTTGAAGCTGTGCTTTCAACTTCGTTGCTAGTACCTATCACAATATAAAAAACAACAATGGAAAATTACTATTTGGAAATGTTCTGCCGCTAAAAATGATTTGGTCAAATGAAAATTCATTTCTGTCAAATTTTATAATTATTGTTTTAATTAGTAAAATTATATAATTGTTTTATGAAATTATTCAATAAGGGTGGCTTGGAATGTACTTAATTTTTAAAGCAGAAATGTCAAGAATCAAGAATAAGAAACTATTTTAAGACACCTATTTTAAGAGAAAGTTAAGCAATTGATAATGATCAGTAATAAATGATTACCACTCATGGAAAAAGAAATTAAATGTATTGAGAGCAAGTTATGTAATCAGAGAAATACATTCAAAATTGGATTCTATCATTATATATGTCTCTGAAAACAAAGAAAATGATGAAATTTCCACAATGATTTCACACTAATGGAAAATTCTTGGAATACTCACATGATTTCCCATAATTTCTGCTTTCAAAACTTTTGCACCCAATGCGTTCATTTCAGCATCACTCATCTGCAAATCTGGTTGTTTTTCCTCTTCTTTTTCTTTCACTTGCGCTGGATGAATTGTTGGTAACACTTTAGTCGCGGCCAAAGGAGGAGGTGGTGGTGGTTCATTTTGCGCAATCTCCCTTTTCTCTTCTGCTTTTTGAAATTCTTTCTTTTTCCAATTCTTCACACTAGACGAACCACGATATGTACCTGCATCACCAAGAATGTCATGTCGCATACTTTTTGATGAAATGTGTAAATCATCTACAGGTTTCTGGAAACCTTCCAATTTTCTCGTTGGAGCTCGCTCATAATGCTTAGGTGATGCATCATGTTTACGTATGTAATTAGGAATTCCAGTGCGCCTGGAACCAGTGTGACGCTCTGCACTGCTTCTATTCATTGACTCTTCTTGCTCTTCTCTTCTTCGATACTTAGAATCTCTGTAATCTTCTCGATCTCTTTCTCTTTGAGAACGCTGACTTTCATTTTCACTTCTTCGAATGTGTCTTAAGTCAGCGTATCTGTCCTTTACATTTTCGATCCTTCCTGTATCTCTCTCATCTTGCCTTCTCTCTTTACGATCTTCATCTTGTCTTCTTTCTCTGGACAAATAATCAATCTTCTCTCTATCCCTCCTCCTATCATCTCTTCTGCTGTTTCTGTATTCTCGATACCCCTCCTTTTCATCTTCGCTTTCCTTTCCATCTTTTGGATCAATGTTCAAATTTTTGTTCTTTTCTTTGTTTGCTAAAGAACTATTTGTATTAATAACGAATGAGTTATCTTCTTTAAGTGAACAATCACCTCTCTTTTTCTCTACATATTCTTTGTCTTTTATCTTATAATCATGGGTCTTCCCTTCTTTCTCGATATTATCCTTCATCGGTCCTCCTTTATTTCGAGATTGGAAATATCTTTCTCGCAAGTCCTCACTTGATACTGGGTGAATCTTTCTTGAGTCTGCTCGTCCTGTCTCTTCAGTTTGTTTCACTTTCTGCTTTTCTTCAATATTTTTGCCATCTTTTTTACTTTCCACAACATCTGACTCCGATCTAATGGCAGTCTCATCTTCGCTTTCATCATCTTTTGTTCTTCTTTCATTTCGCCATTCTTCAAATAATTTGTCATCATCAACATCATCTGAATCTTCTGCTTTATCTTTTTCTTTCTTATCAGAATATTTTTGACCAAAAACATTTAGTCTCTCTTTGGTCTGATATCGCAATTTATTAAACAATGGTTGTTCTTTACGAATCTTAGACGATCTAAACAGAATTTTACCATTTGCTTCTCCATCATTGTCATCCTCCGAAGCATCTTTCTCTGAAACATTACCCTTTTCATTGTCTTTTTCACCAACACCTCTAATGTCTGGCCCTTCCACCACAGGTGGGTCATCAAGTTTGTCATAGTCAAAATCATCTTCTTCATCAGAGCTTGGCTCCTTGGGTGGAGAGGGAGCTTTCAAGCCAAGCCATGACCGATAGCGTGCCTTGTCTCCCACTGCTTCAGACTGAGCCTCTGCAGATTCACCAGCAGCGCCTGCAGTGGGGTCATCACGCCAATCTTCATACTCTCGTGGTTTTGGAGCCGTTCCTTGCACACGCCCACCACGTGGACCTCGACCCCTGTCCCTGGGGCGAGTGCGACAGCGGCGCTCTGCTTCGGCCAACATACTCCTGAGTTTTTCCAAGGACTGCAAAAAAATTATTGAGCTTGAAGAGTAAAGCATAAAACCAACAACAAAACAAACGCTAATTCAAAATGGAACTGAATTTGAAAAATAAAGATGAACAAGTTGATATCTTTCTTATAATTAAAGAGACATGGTTGTTGTTGAACTTTAGACATCAATTATTAAGTAACACCAGTCACATGTCTCATTTATACTATAAGTTATATTAATTCCTAAGGTATGTTTGAACTCAAAGGGAAATGAAACTAACTGATGTGCAAAAGCAAAATTAAATCTAATACAATGAATAGAAAACACACACTAAATATTTAAATTTTTGTTTCAATTTTTCCTTGCGTACTTACAATATTATGCAAAATATTGAAGATTTCTAATTTTGAATTTCTTGTGTTATAAGATTAAAATTTTGATTAATTTCACTAGATGAAAATTTAAAATAAATATTGAATACACAATCATATTCAAAATAGTGATTAAACAACTGTGCAATTAATGTTGCATGAAACTGTTTGAAGAACATTCTTATAAATTGTATATTTTATAAATGGAGAAAGATTAGCAATAAACAAATATTTAACTATATCAATATAAGTAACAATAAAAATTGCGATACAAATGTAATTTACTGCATCATCCACATATTTAATAAATAAAGTAATTAATAATAACAAAAATTACAAAGCATGAATTAACATATAACTACATAACAAAACTAAAATTAAAACATATTGTATAAGAATCAAGAATTTCTGTTTTGTCAATTTTTAAATAAATGAAACATTGATTAATGAACTTATGATATTGAAAATGTGTTTCCAAGAATTTTTAACTTCATTGTAATATGACTATTAGCTAGTTAGTTACTGAATGAACGCTACACAAAAACACAACATTAATAAAATTATGTATTTTACTTTATTTTGGTTATTATAATAATTTTCAAATTGGCATGGCTCCATTTAGTTCGAATACTGAGTTTGTTATGTACAGTTAAGGAAAATTGGTCTACAACAGAGGCTTGATTCTAAAGACAAAAGAGAATTATCTCACCCCCCATCGCTCTGCAGCTACTGCTTCTTCCGATCTGCCTTGTTCCTTAGCTTGCTCCTGAACTCTTCGCATGGCCCTCCGTAGCCAGGCCAGACCATGATCACCAGCTGAATTTGCAGCAAGGCTCAAGGAGTCAGGCATAGGCTCTTCCACTTGAGGAAGACCTTTGCCACCGTCTTTCCAGAATGGGTTCAGCTCTCGCTCAGACTGGCCAGGCTAGAAATCAAAGTGAAGTCATAATTTGCCTTAATATACTCTTTATACACTTCGTCAGTTTTTTTACTGAACATAAAATCAGAAACTAATATAGTATTATGAAAATGTAATGATTTATTAAGGAAGTGGTTCCACAAATGTTTAAACGGACTATATTTATTATTATAATGTTATGAATCCAAACTTTTTTTAATCGCAGCAAGTTACTGAAATTTTTTAAAGAAATCGTAGCTAGGACCCCTAGCTAGCTAACTGCAACTACATTTGCATTTCCACATATACGGACTTGAAAACTATTCTCAGGTGATGCCAAACAACCCAGTTAAATTACAAGATATGCACTTTTCAAAATAACTGCTTAGAATATATTAATGTAGTACTTACAAGGACATACTTCTGCAAGGAGTCAAAAACTTACAGTAGAAAAAAATATGGTTTGTTGAATGCTGGGTTGAAGGAATTTATGAAAGAATATGTCCTCTACAAACATTAAGTTCATAATAAATGTATTGGTAAGTATTTGCTATTCTACTTCAAATATTTTGGTTTGGACACAAAAATACATAGGGATTTCACCCTGTCAACACCTTCCTAAATGAATTATTTGACACTTACTGAGAAACATTTTGTAAGGAAAATATAGAGTCATGTGAAAAATATTCTTTAAAAAAATTCAAATAAATGTCAATGGTTCACAAAAAACGGTCTTAATTATTTATTCACACATTGAATGGCATTAGATGCAATTGTTTTTATTACTTTCATTGTGCTTCATCACAATGAAAATAAGAATATATGTCCAGATATACGTTTACTTATCTCAAAAAACATTATGATAATACCATCAAAATGACATTCTGACCATATATACTTACATTGTCAAGAAGAAATTTCTTCTTCAAAGTTTCTTCATCCTGAGGTGCTTCTTGTCTCTTCTGGGCACGGATTTGATCCCGACTTACACAAGGGAAGAGTGCAGGTAATGTCATCCATTCATCTCGCTGAGCTGGTCCACTGTTTGCTGATGGCTGAGATGTTTCTGCTCCTTTTTCTACCCAAGCTTCTTCCCCACTACTGTCACTGCTATCCTGTGCAATATTTTTCATACTCAGTCATTCAGTCATCTTGGTAGAATTCTTGGTTAGGGTGCTTAATACGCTGTACAATTAACTAACTACATGCTATAATCTTTCCTTACACTTAAACATGTTTATTAGCCTATCATTTTCAAAAATTATAATTTCATGAACAGTAGTAACACCTAAGAATAAATAAATATTTATTATTGCATAATATTCTTCTTTTGCAGAAAATAATTTTGAAAAATACAGAATTTGAACACAATGGCATAGATATGTACTTCTGAAATTACAAGAAATATATCGTAAACATAAACAAATATTTTTTTGACTATCAATGCTTCAACTGTAGTTGACAATATGCATTTCTGTTTCAGATATTTTAGAAGCAAAAGAGTCCTTTATGCTGATATTCATATGGAAGAGATTTTACGCAATTTATATGTCTCTCAATAAATAAAGTTTTTCTTTAATTGAATTTTTTGTCTAGAAAGGAATTAATTTTCATTGTAATTTGAAGATAGATCTGTGAAATTATGATATTGATTGTTATTTAACCGCATGAACTTTATCATTTAAAAGACTTTACATCAACAATATTTTTTTTGAGGGGGTGTAAATAAAAGAGGGGGGAAAATATCATTTTCTATTTTGATCTATTCAAAGAAAAATATTTAAACAATTATCTAGCTAATATGGTATAATGGATAATTGAAATGGAATAATATATAACTTTCTGTTTAAGGAACTGGGGTATAATTATTAGTAGTTACATTAAAATACAGTAAAGGACTCTAAATCTCATTTTCTTAATTCAGCAACATTGCTTCATTTCTTAATTCAGCAACACACACCACCCAAATTTAAAGAATGAGAATTAAATAAATTCAATTAACTAACCCACATTATTTTCCTAAAAAGACACTGAACATATGTATATGTAATAGAAGATCCAGACATTCATATTTTTTCATTTTCTGCACATGATATTAAAGAAATTAAATAACTAAAATAAATAGAAATAAATAATGTAACTGATTCAATATATGAATGCAAGATTTTTGTATAAATACAATTGCTTAATTTATATTACCAAAACACACTTCAGCCAATTTTTTACTATATTACTACTTCTACACTGTCCCAGCTTCTACACTGTCCAACTATCCCAGAGGGCATAGTGATTTTCCTAAAACTGTTTTTTTCCAAAGAAACAACATGAAGACAACATGCAGCAAACATTTACATTAAGACTTACAAATGTACTGTATTTAAATCAAAAACTCTATCATCACTAACCTCAACATTAAATTTTAATAAACCTCAAAGTTGGAGACATACTGCTAAGCAATTTTTTTATACACTTTAAATTAAAATTTTTTAACTCACAGAACTATCATGTTTCTTCTTACTCTTGTGTTTTTTGTCTTTCTTCTTTTTCTTCTCTTTTTTGTGCTTTTTCTTTTTCTTCTGTGAAACGGGTTGCAACTGAGCATCCAAAGAAGGAAGCATCCATTTGTCTTCGCCTCGCTCTGCAGCTCTCTGTTCACGTTCCTTACGTCGTTTGTAATCTGCCTCAGCCTAAAAATATTATAAACTCTAAGAATGCTATTTTAATTTTGCTGCAAAAATGTTTTCTGATTATGTATATAATTGGAAAAACTGAATTCAAAAATTAGAATTTACTCCGAAAGAATATATAAGCATGACTTATATTAATAATTATAAAGCAGAATGCACCAAAGTATATTTTAAACCTTAAAATATTATTGATATGAAGTTTAAGATTCCCTTAACCTCAAAATACACTGCACCTTTTCTAATACAGCTTCTCTGGCTTTTCTCTTCTCATTTCTCAGTTCTTCTTTTATCCTTGCACTTTCAAAATTAATGTATGACATTGTATTTCAAACACGTACACGTTAATCGCTTATGCAATAGAACACATCCTCATTCACCCCTAGAACACATGTAAACAAACCAAACTCCGACGTAGGGCAAAGACGTTCAATAGCAGTTCAATATATTTGACTTCTAGAGCAACCAAAGAGTTGATACAGTATACAATACAGGTAGCATTTGAACACACGAGTAAGTATAGAGATAATTTATGGGTATTTTTCACAGAATACTTCGCTATTCACTCTTTCACCTTGGCCTTATCTCCAGGGCCGGTTCCAGAGAGTATATTTCATTTATCATTACCCTGTTTGAGCCAAAACAAGCAATGATTGCCAGCTTCTTGAATTGCATGACGTCACACGTTTAGTTCGGCTCACTACAAGCCTGCTGTAGATGGCGCAGAAATCATTACCCCGTTTTGACCGCCAATTTTACGCCCCTGCCCTTACCGTACCCCACGGTGTAAGACGTGTAAGATATAAACATTTCACAATGTAAGAATTCTTACACCGAGCCGTATCCCCATTCATTAATAGATTCCCGACGTCTTGTGACAGGTGAACGAAGGCGAGGAACGAGGGCATTCTGTCTGGTATAGACGTATTGTAGCATAAAATAAGTTGTAAATTATGGGTTGGAGAGATTTAAGGATACTTTAAGCTGAAGTACAGTTTGTGATAGATTCGTTCACACGCACGAACGCCTACGATTCGGTCACACGCTAATGTACGTTGGGGGGACCTTGTGGGGCAAACAGGAGGCAAGAAATGGAGGCTTTCGTGGAAAACATTACGAAAATATACACACCAAATTATTTTAAAAGTGTATTCGTATACAAAACATTGGTAATTATGCCTCAGACAGACTCAAGGATGTTTAATGTTTACGCGAGAGCCGAAGGCCCGTCCTCAACTTGGAACTGGGTAGCGAATTGTAACTTTCCTCGTGAAAGCAGAGAGTGTATATAGCGGGAAACTGCGTCAGCTGCGCACTCATTCTGGCGCCGCGAATGACTTTTTTTCGTAATAGCGCGCGTGAATGAATCGTATCACAAACTATTATTTCTACCACAGGGTAAGATATTTCTTACACCGTGTTTCTACCATACTTTATGTCAGGCCTGCTCAACGCCGTTCTAAATTTAGCAACTGGGTTTATCCACTTTTTCGTCACTAAAGCCCTGTAATTAGAGTTTCCTGCCGAATTTTTTTTTTCGCGCATTACATAACTTTCTCTTCTTAAGAAGTTCCTTCTTAAGCTCGAGAAAGTAAAAATAGATCTTCACAATCTTCACATTGTAGTTGTAGGAAGACGCAGAATAATATTGAATTTCTTAAAAGTTTTGCAAAATCAGGCATTTTAAAAGATCTGGACCATTTTCTTAAGTGTTAAGTTCTCGTAAGTATTCTTCTTCTCTTAAGTTAATAACAAAGTTCGTGTCGTTTTTAAGAAAAAAATGGTTTGAAGGAAATAAAAAAATGTATTTGTTTGGCACAAAATTTCGGAAACAATACTAATGCTTTTGAAAAATTGGACATGACATTATGTTTAAATTTCGTTTTCATAGACACATTTCATTAAGAAAAAATTTTTATCTTGTAATTCTAGTTGTAGGAAGACAAGAAAAAATTGTTGATGTTTTTCAATTTTCGACAAATTAGGGTTTTCAACAAACATGAGACCTGCCCCATTCTCTTAAACGTTGTTAAGACTATCCAACAACAAAATTTAATCAAAAACGATGGAAACGATTTTGAGAAAAAAATTGTTTTATCAAAATTAAAAATTGCCTATGTTTCAAACCAATTCACGCGAAAAATACTGTAAATGTCGAAATATCGGTACATGACCTTATTTCAAAATCTATCTTTAAGGAATGGATTTCATTTAGGGAAAAACTAATTACATGGCTCTGGTATTGAAAAAGTGAATCAATCCAGACTGAATTTAGAAAAAAAACTCTAATAGGCTGGCCGCTCTGAGCGTTCGTTTCCAAAGGAAATAAAAAGAGTTTGAAGTGGTGAATGAATAAATTCTTCAGTGACCTTCAACACCACTTGGCCTCGTGCCTCTATCCGTTGTTTCGATTTGACCGAACAGGGGTAAATGATATTCGTGAGAAGAAAACAGCTGCTTGGAGGTCGACTGGTGACTTAATTGTAGACGCTCAATCTTGCCGTACATTTCTGGCTTACAACCCTGCCTTTTCTTCGAAGCACTTAGTCTAGTTAATGGCGCTTCTAGCAGAACATGAGTCCATGCCGTATCGTACAAATTTACGAAATTTTGTTTTGGAGTGTCTGAAGCTAGTCCCACGCTAGACCGCTTAAAATTCTACGTAATGTAAGCGTATATATAAGATAGCTGCTGCTATTGACAATATGTGATAAAATTCATGTCTGCAACAGATATTATAATGAAGGGAATGTTAGTGGCAAGAACATATGCAAGTTAATTTATAAATGAAATCACTGAGAATTTCTCGGTATTGTAAACGTACGAGGGTAAATTGACTCAAGTCAACGTCATTCATGTTCTGTCAAGTAGAAGTGAAACTAGGAAATCTTAACTACAAGTTACATCAGATGCTGATTTTTGGTATTACGTCAACATAAATAAGAACTGAAACAGGGGTTTCTCAGTTCGGGAAGTGAAATTGAATTGAATTGAATTTGCCTTATTTTCCGTGGCGAGATTCGGGCCATCAGGCCCGCTCTTCCGTCTGACCACGCAAATTTCGCTACGCTCCTTTCACCAACTAGGAGAGAAAGGAGTTATTTCTTGGGCGAGAAACAGGCGATTTGAATTTAGCTCAGAGGCGTCATTTAGGCTTGAGGATCTTTTACATGCAAGTAAATCTACGTACATGGGACAGCCGGCTTTACTTCCCCTCCGAAGGAAGGCGTACGAAGGATTTTTTCACCCTTAAAAATCCACGGCTTCGATCGGGTTTGAACCCACCAACTTGGGTACAACAGTCCAGTACGCTAACCGTTACACCATCGCCGCCGCAAAATGACGGAGGTTCTTCTGTTTTTGCGGTAGAATGAATCGAAAAATTGAATTAAATTGAGTGTAACGCAAAATGCTGTGTAAAGGACTGTTCTAAACAGCGGGTCAGAGACAAAAGATAACAGTTATCTTTTGAATTTGTCTTAGCGAGATTTACACTACGACGAAACTCTTAACCATATAGATACTAAGTTCCTTTCAAACATTTCTGCATTGCTGGCTTTCAGAGGCATTAATGAATATTTTTATCTCATTTCACTTTTACGTTTGACCATTTCTAATCAAAATGACAGGTATGAGAACTATTAAACAAATAAAATGTGGGATGTGAGGATGATAAGATATTGAGTTTGTTTAAAGTGTCAAATGAATGAAGTGTAATGCCTTGTGGGATAGTAACATTACACCCTAAAGTTTGGTTTTTACTATTTAAGTCACACATAATAATTACATTATCAGGCGTTGCCCGGGAATTTATTCCCCTTAATCGTTTGTTAAGCAGCCTCGCCCGCTTCGCCCATCTCCCTCGCACGCTCTATTCGGCCTGCCAAGGCCGTCCTACCTACAACTCCAGCCCCGCCCATCCAGCCTATTCCGCTCTATCCTGTTCCTCTTGCACATAAAGCTACGCCCCCGCGCGATCTATCGGGCTACTGTGGCTGCCCTGCCTACAGGTCTTGCCCCGCCCATCCAGCCTATTCCGCTCTATCCTGTTCCTCTTGCACATAAAGCTACGCCCCCCGCGCGATCTGTCGGGCTACTGTGGCTGCCTTGCCTACATGTCTTGCCTCGCCCATCCAGTCTATTCTGCTGGATCCCTTCTCCCTGGCCATCACCCTTGTCGGTCTTCACCGCGCATTTCCCGTCCGGTATGCCATGGAAATCCTGCCAGCACCTCCCGCCACGCCTATCCTTCCCTTCTGCTCTATCTGTTCTTCCCGCTCATTAAGCTTCGTCGCTCCCCGCGCCCTATCTAGCACATCGTGGCCGTCTTGTAAACTTCTCCCGCATCTCTTCCACCAAGCCTCCTCGGTTCTTTATATTCGTTTCGCTCATATCACAATGTCCATCTGCCTCCATCATACCGTATTCCCTACCTAACTACCATACCTGACTTGTCCACACATCCTGCACCACCCATCCAGCATATTCTGCTTAATCAGTTCTTCCCGGTCATCATAAAACGCTTCGTCAGTCTTCCCTGCACACCTTATCTATCAAGCATGCCATCCTGGCATTTCCCTACCCTCCCTTCCAGCCCATTTCGCTCTATCTGTCCTTCCGACTCATCACCCGTCCCCTGCACACCCTATGCGGCCTGCTATGGCCATCCTGCTTACGCGTACAACTGCCGTCCGCCCGTCCTGATTATTCCATTCTATGTTCCTCACGTTCATAACACTACGTCCGTCTCACCCACGTTCGCAATCGGCCTCTCCCTGGCACATCTGCCCATTCTGCTGGGCCACTTTTTCTCTGCCGCCATGCTTCGTCCGTCTTCCCCGCACGTCCGATCTGGCTTGCCACGCCCATCCCGTCAACACTTCCCTCCAGTCTCTTCCGCTCTATCTGTTACTCTCGCCCCTCCCCACAACATTCGCCGTATCGGGCACCCTCCAGCCCCTTCCGCCCCATCTGGTCCTTCCGCTCATCACGCATTTCCCACTTCCTCCGTCTTTCCGCCACGCCTATTTCTTTTAATCGGCCGCTTTTGGCTGCTGCTGCGCTGTTTTGTCTTTAGCGGCGCCCGCATCCGCCACAGAACCGCACTGAAGATGGTCGCAATACGGACGAAAAAGGTTTATGCTGAAATAATTGTAACAAAATATCGCATCGTAATCAACTTTATAATAATGCTAATCTCATTAACACCACATCATTTCCTCCCACTTTAATATATTTGTTAACCAGAAGCTTTAAAGTATCTCTAAAGCTGTTTTTTTTCATCTATCAGTATGTTTTTTAGCTTTTGGGAACAAAAAATGGCATATTTGCTTTGGAATCAAATTTTCTCGAAAACGGCTGATGTTTTCTCTGAAGTCACCATATTGGAATAGGATTTAGTTCTAAAAGATTTTCCGAAAACGTGATTTTCATTAAGGTAGTATTTGGGGCCAGAAAAATAAAAAAAAACAATACTGACAAATGAAGGTGTTTTTTAATCAAGCAGTATAAAAATATCGATTATACAGAAACAAAACGTAAAGCGTCCCAGTAAATGAAAAGTTATTTAAAAAGTTTGTGTCATTATACTTGTAAATATTAAGGAAAATGTGCATTTTGTGTCTTCGCGCTCTT